AACTAACGTAACGTAACTAACGTAACTAACGTAACGTAACTAACGTAACTAACTAACTAACTAACTAACTAACTAACTACTAACTACTACTACTACTACTACTACTACTACTACTACTACTACTACTACTACTACTACTACTACTACTACTACTACTCTACTCTCTCTCTCTCTCTCTCTCTCTCTCTCTCTCTCTCTCTCTCTCTCTCTCTCTCTCTCTCTCTCTCTCTCTCTCTCTGTGTGCAAGTAACTAATATGCCCTATCATAATAAAGAAATAACAAGCCAAAACATGACAGTCAGCCAAGGAAATAACTGTGACATATCCAAAGTTCAAATGTATCTAACTGAAAACAAGAAAAAATGTCAAATCCAAGTCAACAATGAAGTCAGTATGTCATCAACAAACAGAAAAAATCCAGAACTGGTATGATTATGGGGGTTGATATTTGCCCAACACTGAGATGGTGCCTTAAAAAAAGAATTTAGGTAAACATATGCACAAGCACACCAGTGTTGATACACGCCGAAGTCCAGTACAGTGCCCAAGAAAAGAAACAAAGTAACACAGATGCAAGCACTCATACATGTACAAATAAAGATACATACACGCACATATGATCAAAAGAAAACCACCAAATGTACCTCTGTAATATGGCAGGACTAATATTTTTCAGCATATTTTAACCTTTTATACAAGAGAGTTAGGTTACAGACACGCAACAAACATGGTGGGCGCCCCCATAAGCTGCAAAAAGGTCATGATTTTCAATGAAAAGACAGAGGCCACTCATTTCACAATTCTTCAAACATTGCCCAAATTTACCAGATAACCGTGAAATTATAATGAGTTAAAGACCATGATAAAAAAGAACTGATTCAAAATGCTATTACCTTAGCAAAGATAACATATTAAGAGATACTGATTGTGCATGCATCGACCTAAATTGAGGTCAAATTCAAACAACAGTGAAAAGTAATCTACATTCTATATTTTAAGGAAATCAACTTTTTTCAAAAGGGAAGTAGCTTCAAGGCTGCATTGTTAACCCCTATAACCAACCAACCACATCCAATAGAATTCATTATAGTATGATTCTGTGGAATTAAGAAATGATTTGATTCTTCAGAATGCCAATCATGATGCATAATCTTGTATAAGAGAGAGAAAAACCTCCCCATGTCTTCATGCAAAGAATGGCATTCCAGAAAACAGACACGTAAAAATCTAACAAACTGCTTTGATAGGCTAGGAACTCACAAACAACACAACAATCCACACTGCATATAAAATTTCAACACAAGTAGTTCACAATTGTTATCATTATGATATAATCAGAAAGGTATCTTGGCAGCAAATGGTTAAGGAATTATCCTTATGGCCATGCCTTCAGGAATGTTATCAAATTAGCTATTAAAAAAAACAGTTGTACCTGCGTTATTTATACACATTAATTTCACTATAAATAAAACTCAATTTTTGCTTTGACTTGACGTTTGGTTAGACATTTCACTTTAACAGAAAGTAAAATTGTTAAACTGAATGTAACAAATTTATAGTTCATGAAGAATAAAATAGAGTAGACTTAGGTGGGCTGGCCATGTGTGGCGCAAGCCCAATACAACGCCTGTTAGGAGGTGCGAGTTAGTTAAAGTGGAAGGCTCAAAAAAGGCAAAGGGTAGGCCCAAAAGAACATGACTGGAAGTAGTAAAAAAAAATATGGGAATTCATGGTCTCACTGAGGGTATAGCTCTTAATCGAGCAAAATGGCGGACCAAGATTCATGTAGCCGACCCCAATTAGTTGGAAAAAGGCTTTGACGATGATGATGATGAGAGGGTAAAGCATATACCAGTGTTACATCCTAGCAACTATTAAAATGATAGTTTATCGAATACATAACTTCAGGGAAGTAAACCGTATTATACACAAACTATAAAATGTTACTAGTAATGCACTTCAATGGGGCAATAAAGCTATCACTAAGGCTCGGCATAATGAGTCACAGGTCTCCCTAAGATTAATTACAGACCCTTGCTCCACTCAGACGATACCAAGTAGACAGAAATACAAACAACAGTAAAAAGAATTGACTCACATAATAATTTTTGTATGAAAAATGACATCCTTGATGGAATCATTGACAAGCACATTTCAACAGTGACAACAATCTGCTAATTATTGGTTGCCATAAGCCTAATGCCTCAGTTAGTCACAATGCCCAAATACAATCATGAGTAAATATACATATATGATATGGAAATGATTTTTAATGTATAAATAAAATGAAACACTGATACGTCTCAATATGAACCATTCAGTTTAACTGGATGGACCAGGAACATCAATTCTTAGTGAGTATTACGATCGTTCTCCACCAGCCTCCTACTTTCCGCACCACCAGCCAACACTCCCACCACACATCACCATCACAAAATTGTCGCTGACAAAAACACCGATGTGTGAGGTGGGGGGGGGGGGGTAGATTGTTGGGTGTGTGTGAGAGAGAGAAAGGGAGAAAGGGAACATATTGCCCAATAATCCATTCCTTGGAGAGAAAAAGAGAAGGAAAAAGAGAGAGAGATAGAGAGAGGGGGGGGAAGATATTACATGATTGAAAACATCACACTACATCTTGTTTTGAGAACACATCCAAATTTAATGACACTAACACCATAAGCTAGAACATATTGCCCAAGAATCCATGCAATCCACCATCTACTATGGCATCACTGATATCTATCAAGAAATTTGGCGATGGATCAACAAAACACAATCAATCAGTGTAATTTCGTGATCAACTAAACAAACACTAGAGGGACTTGCAAAACCATCTGAAAGATTACAAAGGAACTGATGCATCCTACAAGCAAGATAGATATGCAAAGGCATCATTTCCATGTTTAGTGAAAAAGTTGGGATTGGAACCTTAGTCCTTGCAGCCTTATGGTCAAAATACTAAGCGCAAGAGGAAAGCCCATATAAGATTCACAATATATTTCCAGATCTTGATTGATGTATGGTAATATTGTGGAATAGAGATTTTATAGAAAATATATGAAATTTTGGGGCCAGTGCTTGAGAAGTTCTCCTTATTCTCAGAGCTATATGATAAAGACAAATTGCAAAATCAAAAGAAACCTATCCAAAACAAGATGATCAGCTAAAGAATTAAAATTTCAAACATATTTTCTTATCCTTGTCCACGAAAACTAGTACTGCATTAATTGCATATTGATAGCATTATTGAAATAACAAGACCAAAAATCCATTTTCTGAAGAAACCACTGACAATCAAGAAGAGTTTCATATATAGAATAGCAAACATCATATAATCTTGGACATGAGATTTAGATTATTAGAAGCCCCACATAATCAGATACTAAGGGACATATTTTGTTAGAGGCCATCCTCCGAATGTGAGAGGGAGAACTTCTTTTGGAAATCTGCATATAAATTTAACACAATGTATTCTTTTGACACCTGGCTTGAATTTTCAAAGGACTAAATCAATTTACCAGATGTATCCATCAGGGAAAGTGACCTCTTTAGTATACTTGTAAATATGACCTCTTGGAGTTAATTGCAGTGAAATGATAAAACACAAGTAAAAAGGCTCTACAAAAGACATGCATTGACCACATATCCACAAAGCATGAAAAACAAACCTCTGCTCCACTTGGAAAAGGGGCACCTCTACATGATATTATACAACTAAGAGATACAAGGTACTACACTCAGTTTCCCCAACATTACCTTTCCTTCCCAACCAATCATATGGAAGTTAACTGATTCTTTGCAGCATGTGGCTGTCTGGCCATGCTTCTTATCTATGTCATACACATTAGAAATAGAACTGATTCTGTTACAAAGCTCTGATACTCTACTCTTTCCAGTCAACCCATTTTTAACCTTATCAAATCTTTGGTCTTCTACAAATTTCCTAACATGAGAAGAATCATAATCACCACGTTCATGATAATTTTGTGAGGCCCTTCCATATATTTGCGAGGCCTCTTGGGTGGGTGGTCCATCTCGTTCTTGATGTCTTCGTTTCTCATCAAAGACATCTTTATAGGATGGCCAGCCTATTTCCTCTCTGTGATTCTTATAGTAGGCACTTCCATAATCAAACTCTCTTTGATACTCTTCTTCAATTTCCCTACCGGCCCAAGAATCCTCCAGGAAAGTCCCTCGCGAAGTGCCACTATGTATTCGATGTGGGCTGACTAAACCCACAACCTTCTTGGAGTCCAGAGACCGATGATAAGGTGGTCTCGAGAAAGCTTCAACCCTCTTTGAACCCAACGAATCAAAAGGATCAGTCTGTGCCCCATTACTATGCAAGCCTTCAAGTTTTCTAGCAGAGTATGTTTCATTCCAACCATGCTCTTCTCTGACTGATTTCTTTCTGTATCTTTGCTCTTGAATGTACTCATTCTCCTCTGATCTCTTTCTATCTCCAACATAATGTACCATCCTTCTTCTCTGATAAGCATAGCTTCCCCTTTCTTTGTGAACAGGAAAATAGTCCAGACTTGATCTCATACAATCCACATAGGGAGACCTGTTTGGATCCCGGACATGCTTCTCTTCTCTCTCATGAAAGTAACACTTATTGTCAATACCCCTTGAAGCAGCCCTCTCTTCAAAGTATGATTCCCTCTCAAACCAGTGTTCTCTCGTTTCTGGTCCCAGCTCTCTATGTGCTGGAACTCCTTTCTGGTGAGAATATTTATTATATGAACTTCGACCAATCCATTTGCCCAACCGTCTGTTGTGAGTATCATATCTAACAGTTTCTCTATAAAATGAGGACTCTTCTCCTCCATTGAAGGTTTCATGTACTCCTCTCAAGACCTCACGAGATAGTAACATATCATGCCCACAAAATGAATCTTTATCATGCTGGAGAAGGGAAGCTTCTTCATAGTCCATGGATTTCTTTAGCTCAGCCACACTTCGGAGCCTTGTTCCAGTGTTGTATTTCCAGTCTTCTTGTTTCATAAGTTGGTTCTCACAAGAATCCAAGTCACTTCCAAGTTCACAATTGCTTACATCATGTTTGGAGCTTTTACATATCCCTTTTGCAGAAGGATCTGCATCTTTCTTTGAATCACTAACATCCCTGGCCTCAGAATTGGAAGAAGAATTGTCTCTGTTCTCTCCATCTAATGTTATTGCATTCTGTCTGACTCCTGTACTTCCCTCCAATTTTTCATGGCCATGTATATCTTTAGCAGCAAGTGAAGCATTATAGTGCCTGACAGTAGGATGCAGAAAAACATTTATCAACTAATAGTCCATTGGCCAAAACAAGAAAATACAACATTAAGATTAATTCCAGACAATCTAAAAAGAATGCTCTTTAAACAGGAAACTTCAGAAAATTAAAAGGAAAATAATAACAGCATAAGGGATATTCAATACAAACTACTCCTACAAGACCATCTTACAAGTTACACCTTGGATATCCAATTGAAATCCTATCAATAGGAGCAGGGGCTAGACTGGGTATAGTAATAAAACTAGGTAGATGGATAAAGGTTTTGGCATTCCTATGGGGTGTTGGAATAGGCGTTAAATGTTTACTGGTGTAACTTATTATGGACCCCTTGAGCTCCAGCCTTATTCGGTACCTGAAGTCAACCATGGAAGAAAAACATTGATATAAAACTTATTTAAACAAGAATTTCATAGGTTAGTTGTTTTTTAGCAGCTTGGAAGTTATTCTACTTTTAGGGTATTTCAGGTTATTTCAGTATTTTCCCTTACCATATGATGTTCAAAAAGACAAAACTCACCTACATACAATTTGAGAGCCATCGCCAACTCTCATAATTGGATAGAGTTAGTAGTTATGTTTAGATAAAGCACATCTTAGGAGCCTTGTTAGGACAAGGTTCATCATAGTTCTTCTATATGATAGGGAAGAGGGTCCACGTTGGGTATACCTAAAACATTACTCATGTCCAAGGTGATAAAGATGAAATGCATAGATGATTGGAATAGGAGATCAGAGAACAGCTTTGCACTCATGAATAGAATAGTGTTATCTCTCATTCAAGTGTCTACAAATAGTGGGAGACAAAAGTTAAAAGTGTAGAGAATTAAAAGTGGAGAGAGAAGGCAATTCTTGGCAAATGTGTTGAATAAAAAAATGAGATAAAATATTCTCTTTAGAATTCTTCGTGCTATATTCTCAATGATTTACGTTCTCCTATTAACAATACTTGTTGTGCACATGAATCTTTGTTGCGTGGCTCAACAAGTGGCATCAGAGCGAGTTTCATATTTTAGGCACTTCGCTTGAGAGATTAGAGAGTCGGAACTGAAGAAAATACAAACATGGCAGAGCATGTAGTTTGTTGATAGGAATCGAGAAGCTCGACAACCACAACTACATTGATTGGTGATCCCACATGAAATCATGCCTACAATGGCAAGATCCTTCGGAGACTGTGAAAGGGAACAACATTATCGCATTGGCAACAAAAGTTGCAAATGGAGAAGCTTTGCATAAGTAGAAAATTGGACTGCGCAACCTTGATATAGAAGGAGCTGATGGACCACATAAGAAAGGTAATGCCGCCGAGGAAGGAATGGGATGCACTTTCATCCTTATTCTCACAATCGAACAATTACACCAGCAGCTGTTGGAGAACAAGCTTGCCTCATTGACACAAGGTTCGCTCACAGTCTCTTAGTTATTCATGAAAGTGAGAAACTTGTGCATCAAGATCTCACAACTTGATGATGAATTCAAGTGCAATGAGAGAGGAAAAGCAAAAATTCAGCCCCTAAGCTAGACCCTTCCAAAAATGAGCAGCAACGACAGTTTGCAGGATAAGCAACAATGAAGATGTTGCCATTGTTGAGGAAAGCTAGGCCACTTTGTGGAGTAGTACAGAATGCCAAAGAAGATAGAGACATGAATGTTGTAACAAATGAAGCACAAGAAGAGTAAAAAGGTGACAATGGTGAATGGGATGTGTAGGCTGGGTTTATGCAGGACATGGATGTAGACAGGAGGGGTGATTACCATGAGGGGACACTTCCCTCGCTTTCACCAAGTCCGAGTTGGATGTAGCCAAGCCTTACGAGAGAAAGGTTGTGGATTACACAAAAGGTTGGTTGAAGAGTCAAATTGTTTGCACCACATGACGGGCAACTGCAAAGAGGTTGTGTGGATGCAGAAGTGCGAGAGCAATTGTGTCGTAGTGACGATTGACAACCTCATCCATCCTCTAGTTAATATGGGTAACGTACATATTACAGGCCGGTCAGATGGGGGATACTATCCTAAAGGAAGTGTATCATATTCTAGGTATGGTGAAGAATTTGGTGTCATTTCTGCAAATCATTGATGCAACTTGCAAGACGCTATGTGGTGCTTGGAAAGGATATGTGACAGCATTTGAGAAGGTGAATATTGTGGGCAACCCAATCATGCACCTGGGGGCAAATCCATGACGTATACATCCTAACCACGAGGCCTCCATATGTTGATAAGACCCACTGAAGTGATACATTTGATTAGTGGCATTCATCCCATGCTTATGTTGCAAATTAATGCAAAGCGACAACTCATGAGGTCTTTATGCAGCTAGAGGATTTTGGTGTTCCACAGTGTGAGCAAACTGTCAATATGGGACAGTGCACCCGCAACTGTGCACTTCATCAAAGCCCTTCTCGAAGGAGCCACTGGTGGAAGTCCACTCCAATGTTTGCGGGGTGATGGAGCACCAGACTATTGGAGCCTTGGAGGTAACCACAACACCCTCATTTTTATGGGTGTTAACTCATGTTGCACATGATTGTATCTCTCAAGAGTGAAGTCCGATGTGTTTGCAAGGTTTAAGGAGTTCTGTAAATGTAATGAGGGAAAGAAAGGTTGTACAATTTTTTGCTTGTGGACTGATAACAGTGGCAAGTATGTATCTAAGGCGTCTGAAGCATATTTGAAGACGCACAAATATGGCAGCAACTTACGTGTGCATAAAGCTCTGCAGCAACACGGAGCTGCGAAATGGAAAAATCGACTTGTTGCTGAGATGACGCAAAGCATGATGCACAGGAGGAACATAAGGCCCCACTATTGGGTTCTGCACATTCTCAATACAGTATATGTAATCAATCGCACACAGCAGCCACAGTTGGCGTATACATTTGCATATGACAGGCTCACAAGGAGATTGAAAGTGAGCCACCTTAAGGTCATATGTTGCGTAGGCAATGCGATGGTGCCAAAGTTGCAGCAAACCAGGTCGGTGAAGCAGTATGAGCAATGTTTATAGCCTAAGATGTGCAAAAGAAGGGATGATGATGTATGGATCCTTCTACTGGGTAGAATATATGTCTCAAGAGATGATGTCATCGATGAAGCCTCGACGTGGTCATCAGCTAAAGATGTTGCTATGTCGGACTCTACTTGTCTTGCAGGCAAGATAGAAAAGTTAAAAATGGTTGCTCTTCTCTTGGATGTTGCGGATGGCGCTGCAGATGGTGTTGTTGGCGAAGTCTAAGGCGATGGGTTCGCAGACACAACTATGAACAGGTTGAGTCATAGTGGAGTGAACAATATGAGGACTAGTAACTGTCACTCATGTTGTCGGTTGATGGAACCTCCATGAGCACCTCACATAGTAGTTAGTGCATGGGGGACAGAGCAAACAATCGGTTTGCAATGTGGCGAGTAAGTCGCAAGTCACTCCTACACCGAAGAGTTGCAACCATCACAACTAAATGATCTCGAAGAGAGTGAAGTCAGTTGATCGCAGCCATGACGTTCCTCATGGGTATGCAAACTGAATCTAAAGTATGCAGATGATGCAGCATATGCACAAGAGGTGTCTCACGTGCGCCTTTGCTGATTTTGAAGTTAAAAGAATTGTTTGATGAAGCGAAGGATGTCTCTGAATGGCGAGATGCAGTGCGACAGGAGATTGATGCTCTCAACAAGAATGAGACGTGGGACTCAGTCCCATTAATAACTAATGTGCAGCATGTCATTGAAATGGGTATAAAAAGTCAAGTGACAAACAAATGGGACCGTTGATTGCAACAGGGCGCGACTGATTTCTTGAAAATTTGCATTTTCAAAGTTCGCAAAGTTCAGGTGACAACTTGGCATCATAAGCAGAGAGTCAATGATGAGGGGGACTGTTGAGAGTCATCACTAGCTCTCAAAATAATGTGTGGTTGAAAGGAGATTCTAGGTTGGCCTCTTGGTTAATTGGTTAAGGAAAGGGCAAGCATTAAGGAGAACATGTTCTAGACTCATGGAAACAAAGTTGGGAATCAGGAGCACCACCATGGGTACATACATGAATGGCACTAAAACATGTCTACTAAGGTGTCAAACAGCCTAGACTTAAAAACCAACAATTGGAGATGCACTGTTAGTAACTTAGTACAAATACTATACTCAGAAAAATGTCAAAAGGAAAAATTAAAAGAGAAACTTAATAATATTCTTGGGAGGAATAAATTTTGATAGTATGTGTTCCCTCTCCACACTGAAAAGATCTAAAAAAATAAAAGAAATCTTCCTATTTCTTATCTCTTCACATATAAAAGATAAACAAAGAGGTTGGATTATAAAAGACTCCCAAATCTTATGGTTTCATGGGGTAAAGACTTACGGTGGACCCCGCCTAGACAGGTCCTAAAAATTTACTTGTTGGACAGTAGAAGGAGGCCTAAAAATAAAAATAACGACCCGTCTGGCCAGGACGGTCATGTCCGGGCCTGGCCCCATCGATTCTTGGACCCAAGCTCAGCCTGCCGTCAAAATGTAGGAGCTTGTCCCGGTCCAACTTGGGCCAGGCCAGTCCGCTTTCCCATTGCCACCCATGTAAGGAAAGATAACAGAACTTCATAGTTACAGATTAAAAAACTATTAAACAAATAACATTGCCTTGACACCTCATATCAAGGTGCCAATACAACTTTTTTCATCTCCATGCAGTCGACACGTACTCAAAGCATGTTGAAACGCTGTCGAGAAGTGTTGACACAGATTGATACACAATACCAGCCCAAAGATTAGGTGCCTCGGCAACACTGGGTACCACCATAAGTACTAAAAGCATGCAATTAAATCCCTTGTATCACACCAAATTATCACCTACACTCCTGAGCAATAAGAATCGATGAGACCCCCATCCATTGACAAGAGACCACAGCAATATATGGTGGTCCCACTAAAATTTTTGAGGAAAGGTGATGCATGATATCGTGTCAATGTTTTATATCCAGAACCTCATAGTTTGCCTTGTCAATGCCTAAACTGCATGCCAAAACAAGTCCATATTATAAAGAGTCCATCTTACTGTTATAGCCTATTGAATTAATTCAATTCACTATAACCGTCACACCCCAAACGTTTTCGAATGCAAAAATGATCGATGTCTAACATGGAATCTATTACACTATAAAAAGCCAAAATGGCTGCTATATATGTCGGCACCACTCCATGTAGAGTTTGGTGCAGAGACAAAAAATACAGATCTTGGCACCAATTGTATTGAAGTCACTGCTCTGCTTACCAGCAGTGGAGGCAGAACCCTAGAACGGATGTTTCGACTTTGTCACAAGTAAAGTGGTTTTGTGTGGCATTGTACATAAGAGTACCTTTTTCTTTTGTTATTATTCAAAAAAAAGAAAACAAATAAGAAAGGGAGGGGGGGGAGGAGAGAGAGAGAGGCATTTGGTTCCAAAATTATGCATCACACAAAAATGAAGTGGCAGACACTAAAATAGTCGATCCAATCTAAGGACATCCATGATAAGACAAATGAAAGATAACAGAAAGAATTTTCTTTTCTTTTTCTTTTTTTTTTTAATGTAAATGAACTTTCACTCTTGCTCCTAACCTTTTAGTGGGATCTACTCCAGTTTTATCAGAATAAATAGCACCTGCAAAAGAAAAACGAAACCATAAATTGCCAAAAAAGAAACGGAAAAATATAAAAAATGAAGCAAAGACTCCCAATGAAAAGATGAGATCTAAGATCTCATTATACTTCTATAAATCGTTATAAAAGGCTGTCCATGTCTGCCAGAACCAAAAAGATCAAACTCTTCATTACCTTCGGATTCAGATTTCTCCTCATGTTCTTCTTTTACTACATTTGCATTAATATTGCCTGATTTTCCAGATCCAGGCGAGGAATGAGCCATATCATCCTGCAATGCAATCTGCTCCCACCACCAAATTAAGCACATATGATCAAAGAAGAACAAACATAAAGACAATGTTAGAGAAGCATAAGGAAGATACATTGTCACCTGTATCACAACATTGGAATCTCTAAGCCGTGATCTTCTCATATCTACAGAAGGACGCCTTTCAGTGAAGCCATCTTCAACTGGGATCACTCTGCCTTTCACCTGAAAAAGAATAAAAACAATCATGATACAATTTTCTCTAAACAAAAGAATAAAATGATTATTGGTGAAAGAATTTCAATTTAACAATTATCCTATTGAAATACTAAAATAGCACCAATTCTGCATATATGCATAAGTAGCACCAGTTCTAAAAAAGATTGGCAAAACAGGGTGAGGATATCGAAAGTAGACAAAGATTACACTGAATCTTTTCTGAAATCAATCATAGAACAGGCGAAACTGAAGATTCATTCTTCAGTGGGGAAAACAAACAAAAGCATAAAACCTAACTGCAGCCCTGCAAAAGAGAGCTGAAGACCCGGAAATCCCATGCAACAGCAGAAAAGGGAAAGGAGGATGGGGCGGCAATCACTGCTCAATCCTTCCATGGCATTCATCTTTGTAGGATAACACAGGATTATAAGAAATCATTAAAAGAAATATTGGATCATATTGCCATTTTTCCAGAAGAATAAGGTAGTTCTGTAATCTTGTCAAAACCAACCTCGATTTGGCATTTTTATCTAAACCAGCAGAAATTTCAAAAAATTTGTTTTCCAGTACTTTATCAAAATAATTACAGCCTTGAAAAAGCATTAATGCAACACATTGGCCTCAAACAGTGTAACCTGAAACCCAAAATGACCTAAATCTCTCACCATATTTTCAGTAAATGAAATCCTCTCCCCAGTTCTAACTTGATCAAGCTTATCTGCCGTAGCTTGAGCAGCTACTTCTTTGTCAAAGAAGTCAGGTTCATGTGCCTAATGCATTGACAAAAATGAAGCGAAACAAGAAAGAGCTGAAAATGAGCTTCATACCCATGGTTAGTTAATATGAGAAAATTTTCTACAAATTTTTGCTAACTGACATCACTACACACCTGAGAAGTCCTTCCAGATTCGTAAACAGGAATTTTGGTTTGCATCATTGCTTGTTGCCGATGTTGTTCCTGAAATTTCCAAAGCGAGTTGATACCTTCTCTCCTAATATCCTCACTCAACAATTTAACCACCAAAGTAAATTCAAATAATGCAACGATTCTATGTTTGTAAGCAGTGAAATACACAAGGAAATTTTTTATATGCTTTTCTGTACCAGACACTTGCAATATTCCTTCCAGCTCTCCTCATTGAAACCAAAATTGAAAAAATCTGTAATATCCACTCCAGGATGCCTCCATGGCTTCATCTCAAATCTTTCAATATTAATATCTAGTATCGTCCTACAAGGAAATACGTAGTTACTCACCAGAGAAACCACAAAATAAAAGGAAAAAAGATCAAAATTACTTGGTTTACAATTGATGAAAAAGGATCATCCTTCCATCAATACCATGGATGAAACACCAAGAATCAAGAAAAGCATGTGAAGATAAACGCGGCGAGTAAAATAAGCATATAAAACAATCATATGTATCATAACCACACTTGATTAGGAAAAGTATATTATAATCCCATTGGATAAGGGGAAGCCGCTGGGGTTATCAGTGCCCAATGAAATGTTGGATGATGCATAGAGAATGGGACCCAGCAAGGGGTCATGAGTGTCATATCTTCTCTTGGTGTGATCCACTCCCTCTCCATCACTAGCTATCATTTCATTGGACAGGAATGTTCCCAATGGACTATGATGGTACAACAGTCCATTAGATTAGAGTCTACTTTCATATATACATGTTCTGGAATACTACTGTGCAGTCAGGAACAGACTATTCAACAAATTATGTATGTTACTTCTTCTATAACGCAGCAAACAAAAAGTAGCTGCATGGGTAAAAATATAAAGCAATGAGATAAAATATTACTATGTTGTCAGAAATAGATTTTTTTTTTAAATACATATGCTAATGAGCTAGTTGCTTGAATTAAAAAAAAAAAGGCTAGCTGCTTACTTATAACGGGGAAGGGAAAACTCAAAACCATTATGTTTTGGTGCTGAGATGCCAGAGTTATAGGAGGAGATAAATCCTGAACACAGAACCACCTGCTGATCACCACTGTTTGCAACCAAATCACCACTAGGAGATGATTGTGCTGACATTGGTCCACCATATCCATGCGATTTGACATTGGGGAAAAGCAATCCAGCTTGATTATGTAATGATCCATGCTTACTTGCGACTGATGTTGTGTGCGGTCTAACATACTGTGCAAACAACAGCAAACTGATCAGAAACAACAACCTCAAGGGGAAAGTTCTAAGCAGGCACTCAAAGGCCTATTCCATCACTACAATATCCATACAAGGGTAGAGTTATTTTATTCATTTCATGGAACGGCCACCTGATTTGATAAAGTTAATACCACGAAAATACAATTCATTTCCCAAAATTGCCTAGCCTATATAAATACATATACATATACGTATATATAGTGGTTTGCATAAGGTTGCAACCTTAAACAATCTAAGTAAGACACACCTCCAAATTTTGTCATGAGATGCAATTTTGGTGTCAAAAATTCTAAGGATAGTTCAAGAATCTATTTGCATCTCTAATTATTAAATTTTAAGCTCCAAAAATGATCCAAACCAAGCAAATCTATAAATGCATGAAAGTCTTGAAAATGGACAGCACAAAAATGTGTTGTAAGATGGACTATTTTTAGGACTTGAAATCTCTTTTTTTCTCTATATCTATACATCTCGATGTCAAGATGATCAATTAGATGTTTTTCCATATCTATACATCTCGATGTCAAGATGATCAATTGAAAATGGACAGCCTTAATTGGATTGCAACCTCAAAAATTCCAATTAAGGCGCACCTTCAAATTTTATCATAACAT